GCTTGACTTGTACCAACCCCTCAGTCTGTACAGCCATTTTGGTTTTAGTGCTTAAAATGTCACTGCTGACCAAGGGCCTGTAAGCCTTTCCTCTGCAGGTACACCAGCTATTGTACCAGTAGTTCCCAGCTACTGTACTCAGAATGCCGTGATGCAGGTGAAGAAGTCTTTATTTATTCAGCAACCAATTCAGCAGGGTTCTTAAGCACATGTTGACTTGAGATTTGAATGGAATTGCTCATGTACATCAGTCATGAATAGGATTAGACCTTAGAAGTAAACTTGATTAGCCCTTAAAAAGGCCTGATTAGCCTTTAGAATTAACTGAATGAATGAATGCCTGAATTACCTGCTGCTTCTTACTGAAGACCAACCCTCATCAAAGCGCTGTCAGCTATTGGCTTTTTTAGTTGATATTGTTCTGCATAGTACTGTCCTACGTAACAAGCATGAACAATTTAACTTGCAAGAACTATTCCTCATCTTTCCTCCTTGAAATCCTGAGCTAGTTTTTCTGTGTATTCTGAAACGAAAGTGCTGCAATGAATCCTTTCCTGCCTCTACACAGGACACTCAGCACGCTGGGTTACATGTATGTGAATGCTGTGGCATGACGTGGAGCCTTACGGTGGTGTGGGGGTTGGCGACTTGCATGGAGACGGGAAACATGAGGATGCTGTCCATCTTTCCAAAAGAATGTCAGTAAATAGTGACTTTGGAGCAATACCCTTGGGTGCAAGTGCAGCAACTCTCGTCTTGGTTCTCTTCCTTATTTTGTACAGTAATGGGTAAGAAGAATCACGGGGTCACAGTAAAGAGGCAGCTGCCATGAGTTACAGGGTGCCTCAACAAGAGTAGTCATTATTTTTATACGCCAGAATTCCTAATTTATTTTTATCTTGCTTTCCCTGTGGAAATTGAGAATCTCAAAAAAGATGTATTTGTTTTCTACTCCTGCGAGGCTGCAAGCCCGTTCTGCCTCCCAAGAGGCTACACTGTTCCCATCAGAATGCTGTCCTAGCCTGTCACCTAGATGATCCGCCGTTCCTCTTGGTTTTTCTGCTCAACCAGAGTGTTAGCCCATGAGCCTTCCGTGGGCTCCCCAGCCCCTGAGCTAATGCCACAGAACAAAACCAAAGCCAACCTGTATGGCGACTGCCCTTGAGAACCAACTGGGGACAGTTAGCCACACCAAAGACAGCAGCACAGTACAATGATGCTGAGACAACCTAATGGATTCAGTAATCTTTAAGCTCTACAGTAAGTCACCTTTCACCTGTCACAGGGCAAAGAACTCCCTGTACCGCTTGCTTGCCAGCTTCCACAGCCTGATACTTCGTTTAACTGCTGAGAACATAATTACCTTTGAAGGACACGTTGATCCCCTGCAGGGTCTCACCAGGTAGCCATAGAGTGAACAGAGGTATAACCCTGACCTTCTGTAATTGTTAAGGCTCATTGCTTTTTTATCCAAAAATGAAAACCACAAATGTGTCAAATATAGATGCTTGTCTTCATAGTCATTTTAGTTCCCAGATACTTGATTTGACAGTGGCTGAACACTAAAATTTAGATCTTAGTTCTTGATATTAATTTCATGCATTGGAAAAGCTTTATTCCTCGTAGAACAATATTGTCCTAGAAACTTGACATCACTGCACAAGTAGTGTACTGCCTACACAACAAGGTTCATTCCCGATAAATAAAACAACACTAACTTTTATGGGGTTGCATAAAGCATTCCTGAATAGAGAGTTTAAGCTGTTTTAAATCCCCTGTCCCCCTATAGCTCTAAAATCACCTAAGATGATGGATTTGTACTATCTGTGAGAATTTCTTCTCATGTTTAACAGATTCCATTCCTGAGCAGTTTGCTATGCAGAGTAAGTCTCCTAGAACTCTCAGTCATATCCCTGAGCAATTCTCCCTTCCTATAACTACGGATGGATTGAAGTGGCACAGAACAGTGACACTCCTGAAGACCCCTGCATCAAGGGGCTGCTGAAGTCAAGGCCGAATAGCCAAGACAGAATATTCCAGGGCCTCATTTAAGAGCTCAGCTAAGCAGGTCATGAAAAGTAAGCACGGCAGAACACGTGGGTCCGTGGTATTGATTACTTACCGGACCTGCAGTTTCTGGTCTGTCGGTTGGTGTTTTAACAGCGGTACCTTTGGAAGGCTCCAGTCTTCTATCTGTTTGCAAAGACCCCAGATAGTCTGGTGGTGGGAGGACAACATCACCTTTTTCCACAAGGTTTACAGAACTAATACTTCGGATTGGTGCAGGGCTGCAAGACAGGACCCAACAAATAACGTTTTCAGTTCCTATAATCCTTTGCTCTCACTAATCTTTAGCCCCAGGAAAGCAGAGAAGTACATGAGCTGAAAGTTAATAAAGGTGTACGAGCAGTCAAGTGGTACCTGTACTGACAGTACAGGTCAGTGGGACTCTAAAGTTGGGGAGAAGACAGTTCTTGGGTCTGTGTGTAACCATTCAAACATGTTAACGTAACCAAGATGTACTACAGACTGTTAGAAAGTATTTACTGTACATGTTACTGAGTAACAACGAACATGAGCAGAAAAATAGCATTTTTAATAGTCCCACCCAAAATAGTCCCACCCAAAATGTTACCTTGGCACTGGGACAAATGCTTTTTCTTCTGCTGGTTCTTCCAGTGGTCTAGTATACGATGATGGAAACCATCCTCTCCTGTAATGGGAAAATTTTTCAATTTCATATTATATAAAATTGGAAAGATTGTTCAAAAGACAACAGTGGACAAAACAGTTGACTCAATGAATTGAGATTTAACTTTTAAAGACCTGATTTCTGATGATACCAAATTAGCATACAAAATCTCCCTAAAGTAAGTGCAGTGATTCACCTTACTCTAAGTCCCTGGTCAATGACAGCCAGCAAAACAAGGTGGAAAACATTTACTAATACCTAACTAAAATCTGATGAGACATGGTTTTTTCCTTCATGTTCAAATCCGGTAATATATCGGTTATCTTACACTTTAGTTGTGTCATGTTCCCCGTAAAGCCAGCCATCCTTTTCCTCAGCTACAAGCAGTGTGATGATATCCCCCTGTGCAAAGCTAAGCAACGTCTTGTTACTTCCAGCAGTATGTGGGAAGATTGTCTTTACTTTTTGTCTTTTTATTATATTTAGTCCTGTGGCAACAGAAGTTGAACGCGATAAACTAGCATCATCTGAATTCTCTGTTGAAAAGAGAAAAAACAAAGCCAAAAGAAGGAAAATTAGTCACACACTAATAAAATGAAATACAATTAGTAGTCAGGAGTCTGACGGGGAGGAAAAAAGTAGTTAAAGGAAAACTCAAGTGCAAATCAAGTTCTGAGACGTTGTACTGCTTTGGTTTCCATTTAGACACCTCTCAATTACCTGCCAACGTTTCTCATCACCACAAAGTTCTTCATAGCACATGCATTTATATACAACCCCCCCATCACTGTAATAAATTTGAACCAACCAACAACAACAGAAGTTACGTAAGTTTTAACGTGCTACTTCTTTCCTCTTTTGGCATGAAAAATGCTAAATGTTCACCATTGTAAGAGAGCTTTCAAAATTTTCCATTTAAAAAAACGTAACTGCGTATCAAGTCCAAGACTTCATTCTCAAATGTGCCTGGCACTCAGCCTCAACTGAGCTGATGAGAGTTGCAGATACTTGGCACTTGGCAGACACCAGGTGTTTACCAGGAGACAACTTAAAGGAGGTCTCAAAACTGTACGCTGTCTGACCAGTGCAGTGTACTGTAAATGCATTTTTAAGGAAGAAAGGCTGGAATTGGTATTATCACATTGAAGAGTTCTGTATTTCTTATGTTGTGATCTAGGTTTAGTTCTTTCCCTTCCTTCCCTATAGCAGAGAAAGAAAATAAAAAAATTTCGAAATTTAGAAAATAAATCTTAATGGGATTTTACATTTCAGGAAAGAAATGTTAGATGGCTAATTTTGTCCTGTGTGCATTCCTCCTTAATGGCTACAGCCCTTAAAGGACACCAAAGTGAGACTGTAATAGTAGTTTACGTTTATTTGTGTGCACTGAAATAATCTCTCGGACGCGCCTTGTTGGGAATTCCAGAAGGTGTTCTTCTGTAGGAGCGGCAGCAATGTCAGCCAGCAAGCTGCGCTCATCTGGGACGTGCAAAAAGTGATTAAAATAGAATCTACCTATCGTGACCTGCATTTTACTGCAAACTATTCCTTTCTTAATTCCTCCTGTTCAGTAACTCACATAAATACTTTGTAAAGACCATTTTCTACTCCTCTGTGTGTCCTGGAATCCACAGCATCACAGCAGTCAAGAAATCCTAAGATGATTTCAAACACTCTAGAATGTCATTTACACTTACGTAGTCTGCAACCAAGTGACACTCACCTGCCGAATTACTTAGTTTTTCGGAAGATGCCTTCGGAACTGTTGCAGGATTGTTAAATATATCGACCAGTGGACTAGTGTATGCCCTGCCTGTAGGAGCAGGAGGCACCTTCGATGCATTTTCATGATGAGGATAAAAATCCTTTCCAATCTAGTGTCACAGAAACAACAGTATCACAATACTGAGGAGACAGCGACAACTTATTTGCAACATCAAATTCTAGAAAGCAATGCTTAAATATTCCCCAATGATACCTATCTGGACCCCTCAGAAGTCCTCATGTTCCTATGAAATTGCTGATAGAATAGTCTGTAAGAGGCTTCTGTCCCTTGATAAACCTTTGTTAGTGGGAATGCTGCAATAGTGGTTTTTTCCCACAAATAGCAGTTACACCTAGATAATCTCCCCATTTTATTTTATTTTATTTTTTTTAGAAGTTTACTAATATAATTTAGAAATTCAGCAACTACTGGTGACACAACATCCAGGCAGGTCGAGTTTAGGATTTAACCCATACTCTAATAAACTAGTAAGAATTACGGAAGGAAGGAAGAAAATAGTATAGGCACATCACAGATTCGATTCCCAAACGCTTCGGTAAAAAAGCAGCTAGTGAAGCCACTCCACCCCCATTTAAGAGAGAACTTTTAGCCATCAAAGATCAACATACCGTGGTATTTCTCTCTATCATTGGTGAAGGCTGCGGAGTTCCTGATACTGGAGTGGAACCAGGTGTCTTTATTTCATCTATCATCATCCTGACTTTTTCAGGCACTTTGGTGGCATCGCTACAGATTTCCTGCCACCCCGGCAGCTTGGATTTCAGGAAGTCTGCACACTGCAGCCAAGTTTAAAAGGTACTTGTCAAAGATACACCTTTTTCATAAAATTACACAGACCTACTTGTTATTTTTCATTATATATCAAAATGATAACGCCAGCAAAACTGAAGCCTTTTCAAAGATTTTTCTAAGTAGTATCTCTCTGAAACAAATAATACATTGTAGAAAGAGACTGTCCTTTTTCAAGGTCAGATACTGCAAATACCCGATCAGTCCATACATATTTCTTTTCTTAATATATGATTTTTAAAAAGTCACAGTAACCCTTCATTGTTGCTGAATACATTTAAGAGAACACTGGCTTGTAAACATTTTTCATGAACTGAACACCACACTTGCCTGGCACTACAGCATTCCCGAGTGCCCTCCGAGCTATTTATGGCAGCCTGATCTCCTACCTGCTGAGGCCGCAGGAGTTCCAGTTCTGTTTACACTCATGCCACTGACCTGAATGTGATAGAAGTGCATGTGCTGGGTAAAGCTGCAGTGCTTGTCAACCAGAAAACAGAACCTTCTTTTTTCTTCAAGGAGAGCCTCTCTGCAGCCTTCTGCAATAAATCGCTGAATATCACTCTGTCGAGAGCTCACCGTTTCCAAATACTAAGGGGGGGAAAAAATTTTTTTTTTTTTAAAAAAAAGATCACATAGTATCTCCAAGTTTTACTTGATCCTACATCCAATTACTGAAGCAAACTCCAAAAGCCTTAGAAAAAGTTTTTGGAAAGGCGGGTGGGGTAGGGTGGCTCTGCTTCCAAGTCCTTCTTTTCTCATGCACACACCAAACTTCCCTAATCTCATCAGGTAAATGTGTATCCTTGTTACAGGCAATCAATAATCCATTGGGGGGGAAGTGAAGAAACAAGACAAGACAAGAAACAGTCTTTTAGCCTTAAATAAAATGGTGCCGTAAATAAGAATATGACATTAAAGCAGCAACTGTGCTAAGCAATTTTAAGGCCACAGATGTCCTAATTAGACTAATTACCTTCATCTGCTCCATAGCAGTTACATTTACTCTCACAAAGCTATGATGAAGCTCTACTTCATTTTGGAGAGGGGAAAAGGAGTTACTAAAAAGACTAAACTGTATTTGTCTGAGGTTATGAGGATTCATGGCTAAACGGTGATTAGATGCTAATCCTCAAATTCTCAGTCCAATACATTAAAAAAACGACTGTTATGAATGCAGGTTAGAAAATAAGTAGTAACACACAGGAGCTAGTGCTATTTACGTTTACTGTACTGTGTTATAAACAAAGCTTTCTTTGAAAAGAAAATTAAAATAGAAAAATATGGAGGAAAAAAATATAAGCTAGCATGAAAAAAAAGTATTGTGCAAGTAGAAAATACCATGGGTATTTTTTGAGATACAGGACAACCAGAATACGACTGACGATTAAAATAGTTTCTCTTCTTTGCCTTGCCATTTCTTATTTTGCCTCAAGATGGCAATGCTGTTTTAAGATCAGTAGGAAAGGTAGTAAGTGATAACAGAAGTTGCCATTTGCCTACTTAGGGAGATCAATTTATAGCAAACTACAACTTAATTTGCATAGCATTGCTGACTCCCTGCGTAAACCTCTGCATGAACATGTAGTTACAGAGGTACTTCAAAAAAAATAATAATCAAGGAGTGGTCAAGGGATGAAACCTAGAAGCTGAAGCAGAAGTCTGAGTATGTACAGCAGAGCAGTCCAGAGCCTAATTTCAACTGGAATATGTACTGTAGGAGTGCCTTCAATACAAACCAACTTTGAGGAACCAAAAATGCATGTTCTTTGAGATTGTAGAGTTTAGCTGTTGCCAGACAACTTTCAGAGGAGTTATGTGTATTAACTAACCATTGCCTATACAAAAATTGGGGTAAGCTTCAGAACTCAAGTTTTAAAACAGGCTCAGATGTGACCTGTCAGCTTAACATTCCGTTGACCAGTTCCTACACAAAGAAGGAAACAAATGAGACAATACACTGACCTCCATTTCTTTATGCTCATACTTCATTACATTTCGTGCTCCTTGGCTTTTCCTTCTGATTTTTTTCAGCTCAGCCTGAGACTTCTCTAAAGAATCTAATTTGCTTCTGTGTTCAGTTTGGTACCTCTTTAAAGTTGCCTGCAAATCAAAGCATGTGAAACATCTCATAATGCACTCAGCCACGTAACCGGTAAGGGACTAAAAAGTATTACCATCACCTACGAGATACCGCTAATACGCATCAAAGGAGTCTGACAATTGCCCTCCTCTGCTTTGGTTTGAGAATGCCGTGAGGTCATGCACTGGCGCCCTTTTGAACTCAAAACAGGCATGAAAATTTTTGCCATGCTTCTGTACCTAAAGCTCAGTTCTAATGTGTTGATTAATTAACTGTCAGGAAACAATTTCTGAAAAATTCTTTGACCAGCAATAGATAAGTAAAATACGACTTTTAGAATTGAATGTACTTACAGTCATATATTTTACATCCAGGTCTGTTTTCTTCTCCAGTTCAGATATAATTTCTTTGTGGAATTTTTTGAACTTTAAAAACAAATGAATGGTTATTAAAAATTGGTAAAAATTAACTTATAATTTCAGAAGGAAAACAGATTTAAAAAAGAAATTGTTTAACTTACACTCTCCTCTAGACTGTCATTAAGTTTCTTGTGTGTTCTTGAAATTTCTACGAGAACTTGGCCTGTTGATAAACATACAGCCATATTTATTTCTTTGATAGGGATCTGAAGTTAGTTAAAGAGCAGTAAGAAAATATATTTAACTCATATTTATTAACTAGAATATATTTAAGAGAGATAGGAAATTTCTTGCTGTTGCCCATCACAGCAGTTTAAATAAATAACTAGACTGGCCACAGACAAACCAAGCAGCTCATAAGTGATAGAAGAATAATTAATCACACATTATTCTGCAAGAGGAACATGGAGCGCCAGACAAAATAAATACTTCCTTCTCTCCAGAATAGCTCATGTTGATTTAGTAACAGCCTCTTTTCTTGCCAAGTCAGAGAACAGCACACAAGAACTAGAGATAGTTGCTACTATCCAGATAGCCACTATCCATTTTTCAGTCTTAAAATTAAACTTTAATGTTTATTAACTACCTGCTCCTTCAGAATTAACAAAGTAACCTTCCACACCCATTCACAGCACACCTGCTAAAACAGATCTGATACATATGCAATTAACTTCCCACGCTGTTTTATCAGCAATTGCAGCCTGACTGGACGGCACTGACAGCCCAGCAGCAGATTTCTCGGCATCTCTCAACAGATCCCAAGTACGCCTGTCCTGCTCCTCTGTCTTCCCGCACAGTTACACAGCTTACTTTTAACAGTGAGCAGTTAAAAGCTGAAGTGTTTCATTTTGCTTTAGGAGGATGTAGAGGAAAAATACCTCAATCGTGTGGGTGTGGTTCTATGTAAACTGTGCCTGCTGCGGTCCTGCCCTGTACGTGGGCAGCCACATCATCCTGCTCTGGATACAGATGGCCACATCATCCTCGCTCCCTTCTTTGTGCTGGCACTGACGCACTGACACACTGAGTCTGTGCCAGGCTTGTCTGGGAGATTGCAACATACTGCTGAGCAGAGTCGTTGGAGGTGTCCTCAAGTGCCCGGTTTGACTTCACCCAACTCAGGCCTGTAGACAGTTACCAGGTCCCAACCGGGAGCCATCACAAAAAACTGGCCGTGCCGGGGCCACGATGCGATTCCCAAAGCGTGTCAGGTCTGAAAGCCTTGACTAGAGATGGGTTTTACTGTCATTCTACTTCCAGAGCAAGGACAGCAGGCTCAGTTCCACAGCTGGTTCGCTGGCATGCCTCCTCCAGCAATCATCTCCTGAACCAACCAGGCAGCTCCCGCACTGGGAAGTACTGGCCACCTGGGTGCTGCAGCACCGAACCCGCCACAGCGCTGCCCTAACGCGCAGGCCGGCCTTGCACAGCTACACGCAGTTCTGTAACTCTGGTGACGTATCGCTGAACTGCACGGGACTGCTCCGGGTGTCCCCTCCTGTTATCTTAGTGACCCTCAGTTTCCTTTTTTTCAAAGGGAAAACAAACAAAAAAAGGATGCATTAACTGTTCAACATGCTGCTTTGCAAGTCTTGTTTACCATCTGTATTCTTTGAAAGCTCCTCCTGAGTTAGTAGGAAAGACTTATCATCCTATAATGCTTCAGACCCTTTAGATGCACACAAAAGCTCCCAAAAAGGTGCAGATAGTGAAAAAAAAAGGCTAAATAAAATGAATGACAGAGCTTTTCATGAGATCCTCATCTTCTCCTTTCTTAACATCTCCCCAGACATCAAACTTGTCTCCCCATAGTGCATGTTAGTGATTTGGTAACCTTCCCATATACACAGATGCATTCCCATAGTGCCTGGGTATGTATTACCTACTTTTCTCCCTTCTTATCTGTCATTCTCAAGTTACATCATCTCAAAAGTTTACTTTCTTTGAAATGAGAATCATCTCTTTGGCCTGTGAAGCAATATGACACAGCAGATCTTTAACTAAATGTAAAATGTGGGTCTGCACCTGTAAAAGGTGGTTCAGAAGAAAAACATGAGTCTCCTGACTTTTCAGGAATCCCTCTTCATGCCCCAATCCCCACCTCTATGTCTCTGTGCTCAACAGGCTACAGGAGACTTGGAAGAAGGAATCAGAATACAATGAGAACAGTCAGCCCCCTGATTAGCAAGAAAAAGGAATTTGCACTCAGGATGGTAGATGGGAGACAGCGGGGTGCTATATTTATTATCTCTCTATATAAATATATAATACTGTTTTTCCAAGTCCTGCCGTACAGCCTACGGACTGCTGTGCTTTTTTGTTCGTATTTAAAACTGCTGGTGACTACAGAAATAGATACTATGAGAAGTGAAAGGTGCTATAGTAATTAGTTGCTCATATGCAATAGAAAAGTAAATACAGTGTAGTTACACAAACACTTGAAGTAAGGGACATGAGTAAGCCACCTTGTTATTTTAAGGCTGTAGAAGTGAATGCACTTTAGTCCACAGTGTTTCTGTTTCACCAAACTCAACTGAAAAGATACATTTTGGACTGTAACGGGCTTTTAAAATTAGAAAGTTTTGCAAGCACTTATCTGCAACTTAAAAAGGAAAATAATGTTACGAGAAATCAGGAAAAAGAAAATCAAGAAATACAAATAAAATTACAAAGTCCGTTCGGTTTTAAGGACTGGAAAGCTATTTGGGCAGTTATAGAAATTCAGGGTGAGGGTTCAAACGGCCCTCAAAATAACTGCCCTGATAGATTTTTGTTTTTTGAAATGAACTTATTCTCCCTCTTTGTAAAAAGTACGTTCTGAGGATCTGCTGCCAAACAGCAGCTTAGCTAACACTTGGCAACGTGAACGCGGCCAGCCCCAGTGTTCCCAGCACTGACAGACATCCAACAATGTCGGGTATTGACTCAGCTCTTGCATCGCTCTTTCACACTCCCTTCCTCTGGCCGGCCCTGCCACCACAGTGTAAACGCTCCATAAAACAACCCATTCACCTGGTGCGTCAAGAATGGAAAACCTGACGCTCGGAGGTTGTTATTTTTGTCTCGCACAGCACTTGAACTGACTGCAGCCTTCAAGTCTTTGGGCTGTGAGTGCTTGGTTAGAAACAGGGGTTTTTCATCTTCATTACAAAGCATACTGCCAAACCATGTCCTGAAGTGAAGTAAAACTACGCTTTCTTCTAAATGGTTTGTGCTGGACTATTTCAAGAGTTTATTTTAGAGTGTTCTAGAACACTTCAATAGTATTTTTAGGTATCAGTGACTGTATCTCTAAATGCATTTTCTTTTTCTCTCAACCAAAGACTCCCTGTATGCTGCGCTTCAGGCAAAACCCATTTTATGCTGGAATCTCCTTACTGCCACTGGTAATCCACAGGCACTGTGTGTACTGGCTCACCCATTTAATTTCCTCTTTCATGTTTTGAATCAACATTTTGAAAAGAACCCATAGGAAGCACACCCTGACCTATTAGGATTTGAATTATCATTTAAATTCTAGGTTAGTTTCTGCACTTTGAATAAATAGAGAACAGTTTTACAGTCAACACATACCATGTATTTTTATTGCTGGTATAAGATAATGGGTTAGCCACATTTTGATGGCCCTCTCAAACAAGATTTATACAAAGAGACAAGTTTTTGTAGAAGACATTCAGGAAAGGCAAAACAACCCCTAGCTTACATGTAACTGTGTCCAAGTGGAATGGAAATTGAACAACTTGAGTATAATATTTTGATTACAACAGTGAATTATAGAATAGCTCTAATAAAGACAATGGGTTACTCTGGATTAATAACAGCATAGCCTAAGGCCAGGCTCTCATGTTCAGTAATTATTCATCTTGTAAAAAGGTACAGAAAACTGCTTAAGGTGAAGACAAACATGTATTTCTCACATCAACTAAAAATATTTTGCTATATATTAAAGCTGCTCACGATCAGGTTTTATATATGAGAGCTCGTAATACACAACAACCAAATATTGACCTTGCCATCCTTTAATGGCAAACCCCAAACCTATCAAACAAAAACGTGGCCAGAGTGCATGATAACAGACCACTTAAGTCCAATTTGTGGCAGACATCCTGTAAACTTGAACCAGTTTCAGGCAACATATTATGCAATGATTTAATAAACCAAAGCCATCGGTCTTGATGATACACATAACTATTAAAATACTTGCCTTTCAAAGATACTTTTTTCTACTCTCCATTCCTCCACACCCTGAACTTGAAATCTTTGTGACTAGAAGGCTAGTGGTACATTAAATATTCCCATATTTTTTTTTAGAAAACAAAAACGTAGTTGTTAATGTTTATAGATACTTGTTCTGTTTTGTTGCTGTTAGCTTAGGAATGCACTACAGTGAAGATAAGAAACAATCTCTTTCAGAAGGGATTTTGAGGGAACATCTCAAATACCTCAAATAACATAAAAATGAAACAAACATTTCTCACATGTGGTTCTTGAAACCGTGCTGCCTAATACAGCTATAATCTGAAACATGACCATGAACAGTAACGCCAAGGTCCACGGTAAATTTACTGTAGTTTCAAAAGGTTCAATGCACAGGTAGAAAGATCTTATAACCTGAAACTTCAGGAATTTGTGGAATACTTTTAGGCTTAACCAAGGCTGTTGGTTGTTTCTCTATTTTCTGTTAAGAAAATAAGACTAAAATTCCATTAATGCTGTTGGTTTTGTTACCAAAAAAAAAAAAGAGATCACTAAGGCAAAACGTGTAACAGTTATTTCTCCATACACAGCATCCCATGAGCAAAAAGACAGCCTTAAAAGACTGTCTTCACAGCAGATGAAAAACAAGGAAAGCAATTTAACAGAAATACTCATTGTAAGGCCAGAATACAGAATTTCTGCAGCAGTTACACTTCAACCTCACTGTTTGCACTGGGTGATTGTACTGGTTATTTATCTTTTTAGCTTATCTTGACTGTTCTTATGAAGGGAATACTAGAAGAATTAGTTCAAGTTAGAAACAAAAATGGAACTCAATTAATAGAGTTCTATCATAGAAACAAATATTAACAGCTACCAACAAAATCACTTAAAATACTAAATAGCTGTATTTGAATCAATACAAGTATTAATTGCATCACCTTACTTGAAGTATACTTCAATTCTGTTTTACTTAGAATAGGTTGCTCTTGAAAA